AAGTAGTCACAGAGAGAACGTTTTTTTTTTTTTAAGTTTCAAACTTTTTTCTCTTTCACAAAAAACACTGCAGTTACAGCTTTTCAAATTCTTCATTGGAGGTGTACAAATAATTTTCTTTTTTTCAAATCACAAAAAGGGCTGTGCAAAAATTAATTGCAATTAATCGCATCCAAAATAAAAGTCTGTGTTTACATAATATATTTGTGTGTGCTGTATATAATTATTTTGTATATATAAATACCTATGCATGCATGTATATATTTAAGAATTATTTGCACTTAAATTCTGTGTATATATATATATATATATATATATGAATACATAATCTATATTATATAAATATAAATATTTTATATATGAATAACACATTTTCTTAAATATATACATGCATGTGTGTGTATTTATATATACAATATAGGGCTGTGTAACGATTAATTGCATCAAAAATAAAAGTTTGTGTTTACATGATATATGTCTGTATAATTATTTTGTATATATAAATACACACATATGCATGTATATATTTAAGAAAAATGTGTTATTGATATCAAAGATTTATATTTATGTATAATATTAATTTTGTATAAACATATATACAGTACAAACATGCAAATATTTCTTAAATATATACATGCATGTGTGTGTATTTATATATACAAAATAATTATACACACTACACAAACGTATATAATTTATGTGAACACAAACTTTTATTTTGGATGCGATTAATCGTTTCACAGCCCTAATACAAAATAATTATATACAGCACACACAAATATATTATGTAAACACAGACTTTTATTTTGAATGCGATTAATCGCAATTAACTTTTGCACAGCCCTGTAAGAAATGTATGCTGACATTTAAGGCACGGCCACACGGGGTTTGAGCATATGTGACTGTGAATGAAAAGTGAAGTGTGACCACATGAGAATAGCCAAACAGTATAGATGATTCACAAAATTATACACCAAGAAATGTGCATAATTGGCCAAAATGTTACTGTTTATCAACAAAAATATGACCCTATGAGTTTGGTAATTTTTAGAATAGGATTTGTGCACCTGCAATGAAGAATTTAACTGATGTTTTGTGTAACTGATGTGTTGTGTTTGTGAGAGAGAGAAAGCAAAGAAAAAGAGGTTTGCAACTCATAAAACATTTTCTCGAAGACTAAAAATCTACAAATTGCACTGTTATAGGGACTCTGTTTAGCTTCAATATTACTAGATATAATACAGTGTCAATCTTATTAACTACTATTTATTTTGTATAAAATCATATACAGTATACAGGTAAAAAATTTGGAAACATTTTGGAAGAAGTCTATTCTGCTTATCAAGCTTGCATTTATTTGCATTTATTTAAAAAAAACAACAACAAAAAACAGTAATATTGTGAAATTTTATCATAATGTAAAACAGCTGTTTTCTATGTTTCTGTTTTTATGTGAATATATAATAGTGTAATTATATTATATATAATAACCTGAATTTAATGTTTTATGTTTTGTAATTAATAAATACATTGATTTGAAATCCCTTTGACTTCTGTACATTTGTGAAAATACAGAAATTAGTTATGTGGTGACTGCATTCAGATGTATAGAATAATTGTTTTTCCCAAAGACTTATAGTTATATTAGCCAAAAAGTATTTATAGTGAAACAGATTAATTGTGAACTAGATCTATTGTTGTAGATGCCCTGTGTGTGCGGTGCGGGCCCTGTGTGGGCTTAGTGAGGGCTTCCTTGGGGCTAAGTGAGGGCTGCCCATGCAGGGCCAACGTTTTGTGGGCCCAGTGTGCGGGCCCTGTGTGGGTTTAGTGAGGGCTAAGTGAGGGCTGCCCATGCAGGCCCAACGTTTTGCCAATGAGCAAATTCTCATGGGCCCTGCGCTAGCAGCCTGCAGGGGGCCCTTAGGCTAGCCCTAAGTGGGCCCGGACAGGGCCAGTGCAGGCTTTAATGTTGCTGTGGGACAATGTGAAAGACATCTAAATTCAATATATTATTATCATAACTATATAATAATAGAACAATATAACATAATAGATGGACTTTTAATATTTAATATTGCACAGACCACAACTGGCCAACAAATAAGTCTAAAAATAAATTATGTTTCTTAAGAAATGTATACCAAAAATGAATAAATTACAATAATAAAAAATATACATACTCTTTGTAGTGCAAATTAAAATGATAAAACTGTCACAGAACTGGTAGACATACGCTAGCCTAAGTATTTTCCTCCCCACAAACGTAAACAGTTTAACAAGAAGTGCTCCCAGAACCTTCCCAGCAGGTTATTTTTTAGATGTTATTAATTTAACCATGTAAATACATTAAAATGTTGCAGATGATGCCAGTAGATATTATTCTAATGAAATTTGTAATTTATTTATAACCAAATAAAGTTCATATGGCGGAGAGAGAGCATACTCGGATGAAAACCGCTTCAGTGAGCTCAATTAGGTAGTAACACCGCATTTTATTATCAGTAACGGTGTTGTAACGGGAAACAGTCATTTGTTTGATTACTTGTTACTGAGAAAGATAACGCCATTAGTAATGCTGTTTATTTATAACGCCGTTATTTCCATCACTGTTTATTAAAAACTACCATACTACTCATATACGATGCACAAGTGTGAGGTATTTATATTTATTTGTGTCTTCATATATATATATATATATATATAAAATATAAACTACTGTCAAAAAGTTTAACTTTTAAACTTAAAAAAAAGAATTAATTCTTGTCTTTAGCAAGGTTGAACTGATTAAACGGATTATTCAGCAAGCATTAAACTGATTAAAAGTGACATTTATAATATTACAAAAGATTTACATTCCAAATAAATGCTGTTCTTTCAAATTTTGTATTAATTGAAGAATCCTAAAAGAATGATATGATCAATAAGTTATGACATGTTCATCAAAGTAAGTTAAGCAATCTTTAAGCAATTGTGTATGTCATGCAAGATTCCCATTTTATATCAGTTTAATGTAATTTAAGTTGAAATGACTTATGACCAATATGTTTGTAGTTAAAAATTTAAGGCAGCAACTTTTTTACACTGTGGTTTCCACAACTGTTTTCAATATTGATAATAATAATTAAAAAAAAAAAATCTTGGGCAGCAAATCAGCATATTAAATGTCACTGAAGACTATAGTAATGACACTGAAAATTCAGCTTTGCCATCACATGAAAAAATTACATTTTAAATTATATATCAATTTAGAAAACTGTTTTTTTATTGCAATACTAATAATGTACTTTATTTTATACTGTTTTACTGTTATTACTGTATTTAATATTACTGTTTTTACTGTATTTTCTATTAAATAAATGCAGCCTTTGTAGGCGTAGAATAGAATAGTAGAATGTTTTCGTTTAAAGTATGAAAGGAATGCTAATTGTTTTAACCAAACAAAGTGAGAAGTATATAGAACATACACCAACTGTTGACGTCTTTTATGATGCTTCTCAGTCATGGTACTTAACCAGATTAGGAAAAAAAGCCTCAATTAGAGGCCTGCATGTGTTTGCTAGGAGTGTAAATTTACCTTCCAGCACATTATCCCACCTCGCAGGTGTTAGAAATTAAAGCGGAGGTGGGGAACTGCAGACTCATGTTTGATTAACAACAGAGCAGGAGGACAAACTTTTTTATGCTGATGCCAAGACAGCAAGGTACCCAATCACACGGGATTAGTATTATCTGGGGACCCGTGAATTAGAAATTACCCACCCACATCTGAATTTTGTGTGGCGCATTCGCACAGGATAAGTGAAGCCTGTGATTTTACTCAAATTTTCTGACTTATCTCCTGGATATGATGTCAATAGGCTTGAAAATGCCTTGTCTTTATTATAGCTGTATGATATATCATAAACAGAACAATGTTCCTTCATCCACAAGTCATTCATCTCCATCTAATTTCTATTTGTTTTGCTCTTCTGATGGTTTTCAGCATTATCTTTGCAAATTGTATAGTTGTATGGTGTATAGCGATATGACCCAGCACCCAAAATACACTCCTACCTTATTACAGGAAGGCAGTACAGTAATATGATAGAAATATGATGAATGAATTTTTGGAATTGTAAAAGTAACAGTAGCTCTTACAATACATTTTAACAGGCACAATTAGGCATTACTGAAGGAAATATCGATTTGCTAAGCCAACTAATTTGATTCATATTCTTTTGGTTTCTCTGGCCAATATTTTAAAAAATCAAAAATGCAATGAAAATACACGTATCGGAACTCGGTATTGGCAAATAAGCTAACTGAAAATAAAACTATCGAAAAAGTGGTATCAGTGCATCCCTACCAAAAACTATTGTTCATTACATATTATAAAATTATCTTTATACAATTTTTTAACAAAGATGATGGACCTAGTGGTACTAAACTGATTACCCAGAATCAGTACCACAATGGTTTATTATAAAAAAGTAATAATAAAAATGGTCCCTAAAATAAACCATTTAAAATGTATGAATAGTACTATTACTGCTCAACAATTTGACTAATTTTGCAAAACCAGAACTTTTTTAAAATTGGTATGGTCTATAAGTTTGTCTATTATTTGTCCACTCCTAACCATAGCCTACACAAATAGACTCCGATGCAGTATATAAAATGTATATACACGATTGAGTAGAAAGTGCATAATACATATTGTATAGGTGCATAGTGTATAGGCCTAGTGAGTCATTTGGAACACAATTTGAGAATTACACACACAGTGTGCTTTTTTTTCAATATTTGCACTGTTTTTCTCCAGCAATATCGGAACAGACCTGCGTCTCATTTATGGGTCGTGACCCACCAGTTGAGAACAACTGAAACTTTTGTATTCGCAATCTGTTTTGGTTTCATACCATTGTAAAGCTGCATTGCATCTTTAGAGAGATGATCTGAACGTTTCCATAAACAATGGAGAATAATAAAAGGTTGTAATTTAAAAAAGGTAAAATACCTACTGTTGCCACGTTACTGCGTCGACCACAGAACCACCGTTTTTCATAAACCTGTGAAAGAGAGAAAAATTCAGTATTGTTAAAGGGAAGGTTATTATTGCATAGGAAAAACGGATGGTTCTTCTGTAGTTTTAGTCAGCTCCACCATCATAAAAGACTCAGACTTATAGACCAATAAGGAGGTGTCTGTTTATTTCACTGGTGGTGACACTGATCTCTCATGCTGTGGAGAGGATAGTTTACCAGGGAGCTGAGTAATCTTAATCAAACGAGGGAGCAAAACTCCTTATAAGGAGCAAAGTTTCTAAACAGTTATTCGTGTGAAGGCAAAGCAAAGTTCTGCACAGAAAAATAGCAACCACCCTTCCAAAACTCTATGCCGTCCCATAATTCCCCTCTCGTCTCCCTCTCTTTCCCTCTGTCTGTCTGCCGAGTTAAAAGTGCATTTATCAATTCCATCTGAATGAGACTGGTAGCAGCAAGGGGTGGCGTCTCGTTCTGAAGAAGACCTTCGATAAAGCACTTGTGGTTGTAATACCAAGTTTCATTTCAGCCTGCCAAAGTTATGACTGCTCAAAACCCCCCCACAGGAAAACACAAGGCGGCTTGTGGCAGAAAGTAATGGGGTGCTCATACACTGCACAGTACAACTCACACAGAGCAGAGAAAAATTACGCCAGGTTGCTCAATTATATTTTAATCGCAAGAAATAATGTCATATTTACTGCAATTGCAAGTAATAAAATCACAATTACGATAAATAAACTTGCAATTACCTTTTTCTTTTTACTGAGGCAAAAATGGGCTTCCATAGCAATCAGTCATTATATATATATATATATATATATATATATATATATATATATATATAAATATTTTTAAAAAGTAAATACATTATATATATATATATATATATATATATATATATATATATATATATGAAGAGTTCAGATGCAAAAGCCTCTAAGCGCCATTTGAAATTTTGTTCTAAAATTATCATTTTTATCAAGCTTGTATAATTAAGTTCAGTGATTTCACTTAAATGGCAATGATTATTACCTATTAATTGATATTTAAGTGAAATTACTGAACTTAAATATACAAGTTTGATAAAAATCATCATTAAAGAAGAAAATTTCAAATGGCATTTAGAGGCTTTTGCATCTGAACTCTTCATATATATATATATATATATATATATATATATATAAATACATATTATGTATTTATATTATGTATTTACTTTTTAAAAATATACTGCGGGAAAAAAACAGACAAACAAAAAACGTTATTATCCAAGATGGTTGCCAATCTCAAGTTACTTATCTTACTTACTTATCAGTTATCATGTTTTGCAAAGACTTTTAGATAATGAAGATGATTACAAAAATTACTTTTTGCAATAAATGAATACATTGCTGTTCTTTTTTCTTTAATTTTGGAGTTTGTAGATTGTTCTCCCATTGTTCATCCCAGTGTATGTGTGTAGGCGTAGACAGGGCCAACTGGTTGCAAGAATGAGGAAGCTCGGTCAGGCATTGATAGATTTATGTCTGGCTCTGTCACACAGGAATTACAACCAATTAGTATCCACTCACAAAAGCCATTATTCTTCAAAACCAGTTTTTGATGAACAGCACAAACGCACAAACAAAGTACAATGAATACTCACAAATTAAACCCAGAGGTCTTTATCTAAGATGTCATTACAAGAACAGTATTAGAAATGAATTATGTGATCTAAATACTAAGCACATCATCACTGGCACTGCCTTAATAAGCTTCTGTCATAAAAAAATATATGTTTAGAACAAGCTGTATTGCTCAAAAAAAAAAAACACAGGCTGAACAATTGAGACATTCTCATTTTAAAGGGAATTCAGTCACGTGGAAGTATATGATCTGCAGAATTACAAAGCAAAGTCTCAAACCCAAAGAGATATTCTTTATAAAAGTTAAGGCTCAGTCACGCCTAGCTAAAACGTTTCGTTCAAACACGGCCCAAAATTTGCCGTCTGTGTTTGGGGGCAGAGTTTCATTAACACTGCCCGAACATATACGCAAAGAAAGAACTTCCATTATTGTCGCCGCCATGTCGTGCAGACGCGGTATTCTCTTACGAGAGGTTCTCTCATATTGCTTAAGTTAGCTTACACTATGGGAAAGATTCATCTTTTCGAAATATTGAAGCTAAAATATTATCCTTAATTTTTGTATTCATTGTCAACCCAGGGTGTCTAGCGTGCTCATTGGCTGCCCTGCAGCAACTGCAGCAGCCTACCACTAAGCCCCGCGTGATGTCATGTCCAATGAAAGGCGCTGGCACTCATCGCATCTTAGTGCGCCAGAATGGGCGTGGCTTAACATATTATAAGCTGGGCATAGAGGCTGTCTCTCTTATTTTCATCTGTTCAGCGAAGCTCTTCGCATCGCTGGATTCCGAGAGAAGCCGCCGCCGCCGTTTGAGGAAGCGAAAAGTCAGCTTAGGACAGCGACTGAAGAAGCCCGTCTTCGCCGCCTTCAGCCATCTGTGCAAGCTACAGCAGGTAATCAACCAGAATGTGGTTTTTACCGCCGGAGTTCTGCCGTGCGGTGTATTTACTGCCTTTTGCCGCTAAGAGGCGCTACAAATCACAGACTTTGAAAAGTGTCCGTTTTTTGTGTAATCTCCTGCAGCCGCGCCGCGGCTCATTCAGAGCGATTGAACGTTAGTGGCAGATTACTTCAAGAGATACTTAAATTAATTAATTAATTAATTAATTACAATACTGAAATTAAATTAAATAAATAATGAAAACGTAAAACATTGCAGTAGAAACATAAGGCCGTGTGTCCACCGAAGCGTTTTTCCACATGCCTAGCGTATGTTTTCAATTGTTTTCAATGGGAGCGCAGCGTTTTTTAAACGCCATGAGTGTAACGAGGCGCTGAGTGTTTTTTTTCAGCGTCGAGCGTCCAGCGTTTTTTTTTTTAAATGTTCAACTTTGGATAAAACGCAGCGCTCATCACTGTCACTTTTTACCCAGCCGTCCAATCACAGTGGAGGAGGGGCGGGACTAAACCACACTGACCAACTGTCACAATGTTCAAACTGTGCTGCGGATATTCTGTATTATAGCAACGAAATGTCTCAACAAAAAAAACGCTGCGCTGCCAAAACGCTCTCAAGCGCCCAACGCACAGCGTCTTCAGCAGAGCGTCTAGCGTTTTCAGCTGAGTAAAAACGCTTTGGTGGACACATGGCCTAAAAGTAGGAAATGTGGCCACGAGTCCGTGCCAACGCCCGCTCTAATACACGGCCGAAAGAGCCTTATATCGGTCAGGTTATCAATGTATGTCCCGTGCCCGCTCACGCTTACTAACACACACCTCTCCCCAAGCGCCACTTGTGCTTCACAAGGTTATCACAAAACGCTCCCTGTCCAAAGCGATCAAGACGTTACATATGAGTGTAAATCGCGTGCCCGCTTACGAGCGCTCACACTTACTAACAAACACCCCGCCCCAGGTGATGCTCACGCATCTCGGAGTTGTCACAAAACGTTCCCCATCCAAAACGATCGTCTCATCATTCATGAATGCAAGTCCCGTACCTGCTCACAAGCGTTTACGCTTACTAATAAACACTTTGCCCAAGGCACTGCTCCCGCATCACAAAGTGATCACAAAACGCTCCCCATTCATAGCTTCACAGTCCAGTCACTATGGCGCATTTTCGCCAAAGCGGAAGGCGACCTCTTTGCGTCAAAAACAACACTCACTGCCCAACGTTCTTTTCGAAAAACGAGGACGCGCTAGCCCAAATCTGGCCCAGCCACCAGCTGTATGCTTTCCCCTGTTGTATCTCATCTCTCAAGCTCGAGGCTCGATCTGGCATCTATCCAGAGCGCTGATCTCTGCACGCATGGTTGATCAATGGATACCCGTTATCCTGCCAGAAGGAGTGATGAACACGATTACACAGTCTAGAGCTCCCTCTACTAGAAAGCCTTACGCGTCTAAATGGTCTGTGTTCTCCAAATGGCGCACGACATAATCTGGACCCACGAACGTGTGGGGTCTCGCGGTTGCTTAGTTTCCATCAAGAGCTGTTGGATAAGGGGAGGTCCCCCTCCACGCTTAAAGACTACTGTATGTGGCAGTCGTTGCAGCAGTCAACGCGCGGCCGATCACTAGGAAGGAACAAACTTGTCATCCACTTTCTTAGAGGAGCCAGGAGGATGAATCCCCCGCGTCCCAGTTGATTGTGGGATGTTTCTTTGGTCCTCGGGGCCCTGAAAGCTTATCCCTTTAGATTCCGTGAATCTAAAGTACCTATCATTCAAAAACATTGTTCCGCCTGGAACAGCCTTACCTCGGCTAGTGCTTCTGACGTTTGCCGCTGACTCTGATATCTCTAGTCTAGTGGTTAAACATGAGGTATAATTTGTCTTGTGTATATCTAACAGGCGATCTTCGGTCTTCACAATTCTTATCCAAGAATAAAATGCCAGATAGCCTACATGACAAGCCTGAGCTTTAACAATTTCTTATTAAGAAAAATGTTTTAAAAGTCTAACTATCGAGCGAGATTTTAAATAACTAGAGATGGAACATTTTGTACTACCACTGAAATCAGTTGATAAATGTATGTTTTTTTTTTTGTTGTTGTTTTTTTTTTTGTTTTTTTTCTTCCAGAAGAACCGCAGCTCAACATTTACTTTCATTTGATTACAGTGCAGTCTTGCCCTCCGCACTATGGTGGACACATTAACGTATCGCAGCAACGCTCCAAAGCAGCCAATAGGGTGTCTTAGGGATGCACCGATACCACTTTTTTGGAAAACGAGTACGAGTACGAGTACTTGCATTTTAGTACTCGCCGATACCGATACCGAGTACTTAATAAAAAAACAAAAAAAACATGATTTAAATATTTTTATATAGGGGTTTTTAGGTCCTTGATTAAATTACTTGGGTAACACTTTATTCCGATAGTCCACTTTACTAACTATAAGTAACTTTTCAATTACATGTCAACTAACTGTCATTAGAGTATTAGTAGACTAGAGTATTAGTACGATCAGCTTAATATCTGATAACACTTTATTTATTTGGTCCCCCAACAGACATTCAACTGACTATAAGTAACTTGGCGACTACAAGTAAACTTATTCTCCTAATCCAAAGCCATTCACTTTGAAATTGTTCCACACCAGTGATGCACGGGTTGATCCAAAATGAGCGGGTGCCTGCGCCGCGGTCACCCGCGGTTACCCGCAGTTACGGGTCATCCAAAAATATTTTTAATGATATTCGGGTCGCGGTCGGTCAGGTCGTTTGGAAAAAAATGCCAATTAACCTTTGTATTTATATAGTACTAGATAGAATTTTCTATGAAATATATAGGCCGAATTTATTTATTGGCTGAATAACTGGCACGAAGATGACACACAAGCTCAGTCTAAACAGTTCTCAGTTCTGTACTGGTGTGATCCGAGAACCGCTGTACCTCTGCGTTCGTTACGCGGATGCGCAGTATCAGCAGTATCAACAACATGTCTCAGTTCAGTGAACTGTTAGAGTTACTGGAGTAAAATATAATTCGGGATATTGGTTTATTTCAACTCGGAGGGACTGTCAGGCATGTCTGAAAGTGAGTAACTGTAGTACCTTGTGGATCATGATTCAGTTCGATTTAGCGTACTGGTTCGACCGGTTCATTAAAAAGAACCGATTCGTTCACGAACCGGCCATGTCTATTATCACTAGTCTGCAGAGAGATGGAGGCGGCAAGAGAAAAGGTGAAGACTGGGGAGTGGAAGCTCCGCAAATACACAAATAGAAAGAGTAAGTGTGGGAGACATTTACCGAAATAATGAAAGATGATGACCAAAGTGCTGCCTTTGTTATATGTAGGCTACGTCTTCTTGCGATGCTGTGTTGTTACCAGTGTTGGGAGTAACGCATTACAAAAGTAATACATTACTGTAACATATTAGTGTTTGCTGTAACGCAGTAGTGTAAGGCATTACTAATCAATTTTCAGTAATGTTTTACTCGTTACATGTTCAGTGAGGCTTGTATTACAGTTGTATTACAGTGTATTGTCTGCTTTTACTTCTTAAAGGCAACAGACTGTGTGAAAGTTTTAAAGCAGTCTTTTAGTGCCAGTTCAGAGCAGTCGCGTCTGTAAATTAGTTTTTTCCTCATAAATGCGAACACGAAAACTAAAATAAAATGAATATTTTAAGTTCTATGGAGACTGGAGAGCCAACCCTTCCTCATGTGATTTGCGAAGGTGTAATTAACAGAATTACAAAAAAAAATATTTTGCCTCCTATTTTTTTCACGCATGAATGTGTGTCTTTTCCCTAATATTAAAAATAAAACATAGACTGATATTTGTCTAATGTCTTTTAAGGAAGTAGCCTATATAAATTACGTTTCAATACATGTATTTTCTGAGAATTTTTATTTCAAGTTTTGACTGCAAATGTCATGTCCATAATGCTGGACTTCCCCAATTTTAAATAATTTATCCTCAACTAGTTTTGTGGTTAACTTCAAATGTTAACTTCAAATAATACTAATAGCCTAATTTAAAGATAAGGCAGCATTGGATCTGGACGGTAAGCAGAATAACGCTGGAGTTGGAAGAGGTGTGTCGCGATTCTGTAGGTTCGTGGATCTGAGTCGTGTGGCGAATCGCGATTTCGGTTTCATATTGCATATCGTTACAGCCCAAAAGTTAAGTTCTACTTAGTTATTTTGGTGAAAGTAACTCAAAAGTAATACATGAGTAATGTAACGCATTACAATTCTGGGACAGTAATATTGTAAGGTAATGAATTACTTTTAAATAACAGTAACAAGTAATACCTAATGTATTACAGTTTGGAAGTAACTTGCACAACACTGGTTGTTACACGTTATGGCCCAATGACGCTACGATGAGCATGTACTACTTTTAAAAAATACGGTCAGGAAGAGGGTCGGGTACAATATTTTCTTACTTTTTTTGCGGTCCGAGTAGCGGGCGGGTAGTTGAAAACGTTGGTAGTGTGCGGGTTGTTTATACATTGACCCGCGCATCACTGTTCCACACGGCTGACATGTCTCCCCATCTCCCCGCTCTGAGCTGCAGCCGGAGCCTGGGGGTGGGCACTCGGCGCCTGTGATTAACCCATTTCTCAGAACATGGTATCGGTCCCCGGTATCGGGGGACTTTTAACGAGTACGAGTACTTTAGAAAATGTGGTATCGAGGCCGATACCAGATACCGGTATCGGTATCGGTGCATCCCTAGGGTGTCTATGTATTTATTACGTATACGGTCCCCGAGCCCGGAGAATGCGTTGGGTCCCCAGGACCATGATTGAGAAGCACTGGTATAAATCATTATAATCAGTAATTATGTCCCCAATGAAATAAAACCTTACCAATCTGCATTTTCCGCGGTTCAGATTCGGGCTCGAATTGCTGAGGTAGTACGACATTATCACCTGTCATTATTGCTTTGGGAGCTGATGTTCCAAATATGGTAAGGGGCGTGACAATTCCATCACACGATAAAGGTTTTTGGGCCAATCACAATGCACTGGATTGCTGGCCAATGAGATCACATCATGCTTGTCAGAAGGATGAGCATGGTAAAAATCGACACGTTTCATAGGCATATAGAAGCAACAATAATGTACAGTATGTGTGTAAAATAATGACTTTTTAAACCTACAACCGCGTAAACACATTGCATTAAAACAAATATGCAAAATAATTATATTTTTAGAACCACCACATGAAAAAAAAATCTCCGTCAGCACTGTAATAAAAAAAGACTTATAAATTATTCAGAAAGGTTCAGTCCATTGACACTAACTGAATTAATCTGGGTTGTATTTCCCAAAAGCATCGTAAGCCTGTCCGTTGATAGAGACAATTGGTGGCAATTGCAAGTTTTTTTCTTTTCTAATGTCTCACTGGAATTAAAATATGCTATGTTGCACTAGATGCTCAAAATTGAGGGCTGCCGTACTGAAGTCTGAAAGAAAGAGAGGGACGAACAAGTAACACACAGGTGGAACATTGCTCTGTCACACCATTAATAGAGTGACACTTTATTTATCCGACAGTGAGTTTCAATGGTGCTACAGGCCCCTGGACTAACAATCCACATGGAGCAACATAAACACGGCTCAACTATGTGCTTCTCCAGGCAGGCGGACGGTACAGCGCTCTCTTAAACAATGTGCTTCGGAGATCTCTTATCCGAGCCATTAAAACGAGTCACACATCAGATAAGCCCTTCTTGCCAACACCATGTGTAAACATTCACAACGCCTTTCTTCACTGAAAGCGCAAAACGCCACATGATGTGACAATCACATCCAATAAGAACATATTTAAGACTCCCATTAGTAGTCACACTGCTAAACTACTGATCATCTACAGTTAAACTGCTTTACTTGTCAGCATGACTATCGCTATATCCCCCAAAAACTGATTTGCTAAAATAACTGTTTTGTAAAATGTAATTGATTCCTGTGATGGCTGAATTACTCCAGTTTTTAGTGTCAATTGAAATATAAAAAAACAGCCCAAAAAATCGTATTTGGTTTATCAGTTCACTCTTCACGTATGTCAAACATACAAATAAGTGCATGCAGGGAGGGTGTTATATTTCTGAACAAATGACAGAGATACTCACCCGTCTAGTAAAAGGATTGCGTTTTTACGAGGATGGCCGACGTTGGGCCCATAGAGGTTTGCTCGGCTGTAGAAACGCACCGATTGCAGTAACGTCCTCAGAAGAGTGTAATCCTGAGCCAGACGAGAGCTGTTGACTGAACGAGAAGCCATTGTGCGGTAACTGTTGGGCTCTGTGCGGGTAAATAAAAAATATATACATGATGAGACTGTGCTTTACTAATTAAGGATGGATTCATTTAAAAGGAAATTTGCACAAACGTTTGGGGTTTGGGATTTTTTTTAATGCTTTTGAAAGTCTCTTATGCTCAACGAGACTGCATTTATTGGATCAAAATATATGCTTATAGACACAGTACTGGTCAAAGTTTTGGAAACATTACTAGAAGTCTCTTGTGATCATCAAGCCTGTGATTAAAAAAAATATATATATATTTTTGAACTTTTTAATCATCAAAGAATCCTATCAAAAAACTATCACAGGTTACTTTATATTAAAGGGTACATATCATGCTTTTAAATCATTCCTTTTTACATATAAATCATACATTTGTGGTCTATATAAAATGAAACTGAAATGCTTGGGTCTGATTTATTATTATAATTATTATTATAGCTCCACAGGCCCCTTTTCTACCCCTTTTCTGATGTGCGTCTGTGAGCAACTCGTTTTGGAGCGGCCTCTTTAAATAAAAAGGAGTTGCGTCTTTCCCCGCCCGTTTTACAGGTCGTTGAGTTCAAACTCGGTTCAACTCCACCCAATTTGGCCATTTTTGTAGTTTGATTAGAGATATACGATTATATAGCGTTTTTATTCATGTTAACAAAATGTCAACAACAGAAGACTTGTCCATCAAGCCTTACATGATCGAGCCAGAGCGAGCGAGTTGAAAAAGACGACGACGAACCTGCAGAACAACGTCTTCATATGGATGTAGTGCAATGGTATGTAACTGTATTGTGTTATAAGTGAAAGTCGATTATTTCTCTTGTTAAAACAAGCACACTAACAACATAAATGACTACGGTCTAATCTTACCACTAAAAATCTGTATTGATAATATGATACGTTTAGAAAAGCATCAGAAAACACAGCAGCTAAATGACCATTGATGAAACTCAAGAACAATAATAGTCTACTGCAGACGTTAAACGTTACTTCAAAACAAAACAACCCGGTCTCATCCCAAGACGTCATATAACTGACGTTTTGGGACGTCTTTTGACCATACGTCAATATTCGCCTTTTTAGGGCCCCCTTAAACGTCGGTAGATGAGGTTATGGGATCCTAACTCTACCCCAGACCTAAACCTAACCCTAAACCTAACCCGTCACCTAACTGACGTTAAAGGTAAAGCGTCAGTTGTATGACGGCCCGGGATCGCCATCTGCCGACGTTTAAGGGGGCCCTAAAAAGGCGGATATTGACGTATGGTCAAAAGACGTCCCAAGACGTCACTTATATGACTTTTTGGGATGAGACTGTGTTAAACAAAAACAAAGAAAGACAAAAGTACAGCTAAACAATGACCACCATGTGTTTTAAGAAACTAAACTACTTTATTTTTATTAACGATATTTACAGCATATCGAAATGCTCTGTTCGTCGTCTCCAAAGATAGAAGGAATTTACCCCTCATTCAGACAAAGTCGATCGGCAAACCCTTCTTTATACTGGCGGAGGTTGTTGAAGTGGGAATCCTTGAAGTGCTTCAGGTCACTACATCCAACAACCGAACATTTTGACTTGCCCTCTCGTAACTTCTGCATTATTGAGCTTGGACTACAAAATCGGAGCGAGAAATAATAATGGCGGATTGCTCGAAGTGTTGGGCCGGTAGTCAGTGTCCTTATTTGGCAGTTCCGCTGCAAATACGGTGACGTAATTGTTCAAAATACGTCATAGAGAACAGAAAAATCTGAACAGGTTGCAAAATATGACCAAAACAGAATATAAAGATATAAACGAAGCACCTAGGGCCTCATTTATAAAACTGTACGTAGAATCCTTACTAAAAGTGTACGTGCGCCTGAAAGCCAAAAATGTCGTACGCAAAAAAATATTAAAAATTATAAAACCGAACCTGCGCAGAATTCACTTTATAAATCCCAGTCAGTGGAAGATTTTGCTCACGTGCGTCTCCTCCCCGAAATAACCATAAATGGAGATTACAACGCCTAGTTTTACTATGCATATCCTCATCTGCATATAATTTGCATATGATTATTCATCCACGTGATAACATGTTTAACGGTACAAGACATTAGGAAAATATGAAATACGAATGTGCCGTCACATTACATTAATAAAAATCATTTAGTAGCCCATCCTTCCCTTGTTTTTTAAATAAATAAAATAAAATAATGCAAAATACATTTCAGAGAAAGTTTTTCTCAATCTTTTCCACTGGCCAAATAGTATTTTAATTGATTTATATTTTAATGGAAACAGATAGACCTTGTTGTGCATTATTTGCATGAAAACCATTTTCTCAGACAATCTGCTATCATGATAAGCAATTATCTATGTAGTTAACACATTAAAACACACACAGCATGCCGGAGGAAGTGTTCAAAAGAATCACATCCACAACAAATATTTAGGCTATATTTATTGAATATAAAAATGTTCTTCTCAGTAATGATTTCATGTAGTTTAAGTGTTTAACAACATTAATGATAATAGCATATTTAATCTAAATGTTTATATCATAATTAAACATAGTTTAAATCATTCATTTTTAAACTGTTATTATGAACATGCACTGTATTTGTGATGGACTCATAATGAAGATTTACGGTTTTACTTCATCTGCCGTTAGATTATAGGCTATATGTGCGTCAGTTTCACTAAACGGCCCAACACACTCGATGGTGCGGACATTTAAGAAGGGATGGATGTTTGCTTCAAGTAATAGGTTTGGTGAGTGAAATTATATTTGTATTATCGTGTTCTGTATACTTTATGTATAATTTCCTTAGATTTTCAGTCTAAAAGTGATCAAAAAGACATTTAACTCCAGCACACCATCGGTGTCGTCAAACTACTCCATCTCCAAAACGTTCGTACGCATGGGTCAGAGTTTGTGTGCAGGTGCGCACATTTTCCCGTCAAGTTTGTTTTTATAAATCACAACTTATGCGTCAGAAGTGGCGTACGCCTCGGCCTGTTTTGTGCGTACGCAACGGTTATAAATGAGGCCCCTGAAGAGAATAATTTCATCTTTTCTGTACTTATAGTCACTCCAAACGAAATGCATTTAAGGACTAAAAAGTGGATTTAGCATGATATGTCCCCATTAAGCAGCACAACTGTTTCCAACATTGATAATAAATCAGCATATTTAATGATTTCTGAAGGATTTTATGACACTGAAGACTGGAGTAATGATGCTGAAAATTCAAACAAAAAAAATATTTTAAATTATATTAAATTAGAAAATCATTGTTTTAAATAGTAATAATATTTCACAATATTACTGTTTTTTCGGTATTTTTTGTGATTCCTTTCAAAAACACAAAACATAGTAATGTTTTCAAATTTTTGACCGGTACTGTATCCCATTTAATTGTTATTTATTTTTAGTTTTTAGTTTTTTATTTTGGAGCTTGACAATTGTGGCAAGTAAAAATAATGCATTTTTTCGTGAACTATCCCTTTAAGACTTTTGTTGCAAGCTGACACCCAATCGCAAGCGAACATGCGAACTGCCTTTGAATTACGACCTATATTGTGGTCAGCACTTTGTAAACTATTTAAACAAGGCAACACTTGTGGGAGGTGCACACACTTGAAATCACAGCGAGGATGTTACAGAAGTCAAGTGGTGAATTTTATAAACATCACAGCCTGTGTGAGTGTGTGTTTGTGTAGGGAGAGAAACACAGAAATCCTGTTCTGAGCTGTTGTGTCAATACAGTACAGGGCCAGGCCGAGGCCAGTGGAAAATATGAGACATTATTATTATCCATTAAAATATTATCCAGATCCTATCATTTAGAAAATGCACAATAACACAGTCATGAAATAAATTATCCCAGTGCCCGTGCATCACTTTGAAAACTTTGTGTCACGCTGGCAAGATCCACTCGATAAACATCCACCCACAGCTGAAAATATTTCCCTTTGTTTCATTTGGCCTCCTAGTTCGCTTGAAAGAGTTTGTTTTTGAATTAACAGCTTCACAAAATCTGATTTAGCAAGTTATCCCCAACAGCTTTTCTTCGGACGTGGTTATTGTTACAGTTGAAGACAAAAAGACAAACATCCAAATGGCTGTTCCAGTAACAACAAGCCTTTATTAGAATTTGGTAAATGGAAGGATTTAACTATAATCCAGACTCTTTTCCAGTATTACATGACAGATATTAATAATTATGATAATATATCATTATTTTGTGTATGAATTTTACATTCAGTATGAGCAGACAGATTGCTCTCTTTGAGCGTCCTGCTCCCTCCGGACTTCTATGACAATCTCAGCAAATGGTTACACGCCGGCAGCTAGTAACCATTTGACACCTTAAAAATGTAGCCACTAAACAAACGATTAAGACAATATAAGGTTTATGTACATTCTTTAAGCGGCCTCTGGTATTTTTTTATAGGTTTAGGTCTTAATGGAGCTTAATAGTTTGGTCTAAATGGAGCATAGCCCATATCTGCACTAAAGCCGACTTTAGTGCCTGTCTTTATAACAGAAACACGCCCGTCATGGAACAGCTACAGTGGCGTAGATCGTAGAGTGTGTAGTTCATGAAACAGCTAACGTTATTGATGCGCTCGGACCCGAGTTCAAATCCGCCTTTTGCCGAACATATGAGATGTAAAATGTATAAACTAACATGAAGGTCTCTAGCGTTGTATTTTGCCAATGAACTAAAAAACGAAACCATGATATTGCTTTTTGTCTTCATAAAACAGCACAAGACTTTAAGAATAGGCATTCTGTTTGTGCTGGGTGTTTTAGAGAAACGTGTGCACTTTGCTCACGCGAACACAGAGCAGTTTTTCCTGTGAGTGAGACTGGAAAACGCGTAGTGGATGTAATCAGAGTGATAACAGAACGCTTAGAGAGCAGAGAGGAATTGGCTTTGACTCCAGTCCTGGTTTTGCGTCCACGCCGTTAGGAGCTCAACATCTGTCTCGTATGCATGATCGCTCTAGACTAGATTAGAGGATATTTTAACTAATTTTCGACAAAACTAGTCGATCACGAGTGGCTCAACTGGTGGATTTATAGATAAACTTATCTTTCAGGTATTTTGCCGACTCTGCCGAAATCGGGGGTGTGGCGTGAGAGCGTGAGAATTGGCTCAATTGCGTGAGTCTCACGCTCAATGCGTGAGAGTTGGCAGCCCTGTCATATTTGCAACGATACCACAACAGTATAGCCCGATCACATGATTTTAATGACGAATCATTCAAAAACAAATGAATTCAAATGTGGATTTGCAAGCCAGTTGTTCCTGAAGGAGGTCTCAGTACCCAGTGTATATGGATTAGCTTCCTTCTCCGAATCACAACCTGTAAGTATTATTAATAATTGTTGCTTTTATGGGTTTTGTAGTGTCGGGGCGCGAGCAGGGAAGGCGCAATAAGTATGTGTGTGCGTCTGCGTACGTGTGTGTGTGTAAGTTACGCTCAGCGCAGCTTCTAGGTCTCCAATGTCATTGGAGTTGTCATAAAGAATAGAGCGTCTTGTAGTACTGCAGTGCTTTATCAATATGTTTATGCGTTGGGCTAACAAACAATAACTGACTGGGTATGTCATCTGACCAATCACCACCGATTAGCGTCACGCAAAGGAGTGGTTTGGAAAAACGAGTCGTTGTACGAATCATTTGGGAGTCGGTGAGCAAATCAGGTGAAAATAAATGCATATTATAAAACAACAAAAGTGTTTTTTGTCATTGCATTCATGTAAAACTGTTGTTGGGGACTCCCAGAACACTATGAGGAACATTTTAAATGCCATAATAGGTGCCCTTTAAGCCAACTTTCACTTTCATCTGTGTTTTAAATTCATTTTAACCCAAGATTTGGGTTTGTCCATATTTGACCCAAATTTGGGTTGAAATAACCCAGCATTTTTTAGAGTGTATAGAAAATTCTGCAACTAAAAGCTGCATATGCTGTCAATAACAGCTATATATGAAGAGTTCGGATGCAAAAGCCTCTAAATGCCATTTGAAATTTTCATCTTTAATGATGATTTTTATCAAACTTGTATATTTAAGTTCAGTAATTTCACTTAAATAACAATTAATAGGTAATTATCATTGCCATTTAAGTGAAATTACTGAACTTAAATATACAAGTTTGATAAAAATCATCATTAAAGAAGAAAATTTCAAATGGCACTTAGAGGCTTTTGCATCTGAACTCTTCATATATATGTGGATATATATATATATATATATATATATATATCAACAAGTTTCCGAGGGGCGCTCCTGTAAAAAATAAAGTGGGTGAAACTTCCGGTGACGCGGTGGAAGTAGCATTCCAATGGTATTTTGTGTGTTAGTTAGCGAAGAGGCTAGCTGTTTTTATGAGAATTATTTTACTATTTAAAGATGCAAATCTTTATGAGAGATGTCGTTACGGAGCTCAGGGACAACATGTGCTGTTCGCGGTTGTATGTATAACCGAACTAAACTAATTCAGTGGCTTAAACGTGATTGTTTTGAACATAAGCTGAAAACGAAATCAGAGTGATCCTGCCAGAGCCCGTCTCTGATCCTGCCAACAACTGTAGTTTCCATCACCTCCCAAAAGACGACGAATCTTCCTGTGTACATTTGTTTAAATTCTTAATATTTTATAAACTCTATCAGCATGTGATTGGCTGTTCGCTACTGATGTTACACCTAAACTTAGGATCAAAGCCTGTGTTGACAGAATACCAAATGTGCCAGTAATCCAGTTAATGTATTCAAGTAGCACATTCATTTATAATTTTGAATAAACTTCAAAGCACAATGACTAAGTGTGTATTTTTTATTTTAATTGTTTGTCAGCTCGCACAACTGTCTGTCACCATGCCTTGATGAGTTTTGATTATTAATAATGTTATTATAATACTCCCAATCAACTACTGTGGAGGGTAAAGGTACTGTTATTTCACCCTTTTGAATTTCGTTGAGGTTGTGTTCCCACATCGTTAGCTAGTTTGGATCGCTATAACTTGAATGACTGTCAACTGTTGAATGCATGAGTGTCAAGCATGTCAAGTCGCGCTTTGTTTACTTCGAACCGGAAGTCGCGCCCACCTTTGACGCAAGGCCTCATGGGGCGTAGGAAACTTGTGGATATATATATATATATATATATATACACACACACACACATATATACACACACACACACACACACTGTATATCATTTTATGATAGGAACCCATTATTATCATATGATCATAATTATTCGTAAGGTGTATGTTGTTTTGATGTTTATAGAGAGGCATTTGATACAAGGGCATCATGAATAGGGCAATTTACTGCATGTCTGGAACAGGACAAATAATGAATGAGTGTTTAAAGCAGATTACAAAGTCACCAGGTGTCCTTTTGGATTCTGCTTTGTGATCTGTCTCCTGACATAAACCCTTTTGAGATGGGATTAGTTTTATATGAAGTATAGTATAATGACCAGAGCTTCTTGAATTGTCCAGAGTCCAAAATATTGTATCAGTAAAGACAGCTTCTATAAAATATTCCCAACTTATTCAGCAGACATCTTTCCTGCCTTTATGCTGTTGTACATCAAGCACTTCAAGTGTCTCAAGTGGATGTGGGTCAATGAGAAGACAGTGGAAAACGAGAAGATGCTTGTTGACTTTTTATGAAGCGATAACTTTGAGAGAGACTAAGGACAGAAAGAGACCAAGAGCAAGGACGAATGATGTCTCACTTGTTTTTATTTAGCTGGTTTTAGTAAATTCAATTCACATTTAATTCTTCACTTTAAAAAAATATATTCATGATTTGTAATCACAACATTTTTTCTTTTGTCAAATCAACTTAAATATTTTTTATGGTTCAGATAACATAATATTTTGAGTTTCTGGTGATTAAATCAATCTCCTTCATTGTATTAACTATTTTTTCCATTGAACAAAATAAGGCAACAAGGTTACTTCATTTTTTAAGTTAAACAAACAATATATTTTTTTACAGTGTTCTTATTGATCCTAACTTGTTTAATGTTTCCAGAATATACTGTAATTATCTAGGCAAAATGCTTATCATGGTAAATTACTGTGGTAGCAATATATAAATGTCACCCATTTTATAATTTTCTACCAACCAGCTGACACTGTTCACATTGTAATGGTTATCGGGGCGGTTCTAAACCACATTTGTGAGACTGCAATTTTAAGGAGTAAATACTCAGCAATGATGTTGACTGATGAATTTGCACATGGTTTGCCTTAAAGCATATTAAAAATACAACATAAACACATAAACAACATTAAAAACTTGATTTTCACCACAGGGGGACTTTAAAGGAATCGTTTGCTTTAAAATGAAAAATCTGTCATCATTTACTTAAATTGATGACAATTTTAAAATTTTTGTTCCTTAAATTGATTTAAACCTGTATGAATTTCTAAAGAAAAATAATCTGTCTGTAACCACACAGTTGATAGTCCCCATTGACTTCCATACTAGGAAAAAAAAAGTCATAATCTAGTCAATGTAGCCCATCAGCTATCATCCTTCAAAATATGTTGCTTTGTGTTCAGCAGAAGAAAGGTTTGGAACACCTTGAGGGTTTTCTTTTTGAATTGAACTATTCCTTTAAGTGTACATCTTGTTCAAGAATTCCACCTTGCAAGGTTCAAACTTGCAACCTTTTGGCTACTCCCACAATAATCACGGCTAGATGGATGCTTTCTTTTTTTCTTTAGTAAAAGCATGTTGTCACAGCAGAGAGGACTCACCATTGCCGAGCTCCCAGGAGATGTTGTATTTTTTGCCGGCGCTGTATTTGAGCAGGCTCAGAGCACTGGAAGCGTTCCACGAGTTGTCAGGGTTTCTATGCAAGGCATTCAGCCCAAAGATCAGGTGCAGTCCTGCGCAGTCGGCAAAGTTGTAGAGTTTGTCTAAAGACCTGGCTGGGAAAAAGCCAAACAAAGCTGTAACATTGATACTTGATACTTTTTTTTTATCATAACCATTTTACATTTTAGTTAAGACTATTGCAGTGTTTCTCAACCACTGGGTATCAAGACCATTTTGAGTGTGTTTTGGAGTGTGAAGTCAAAAAAAAAAAAAAAAACCACAAAAAAAAACGTAATTCTTAATGTTTTACTGATGCAAGACTAGGGCTCTCAAGCGATTAATCGCGATTAATCCAAAATAAAAGTTTGTGTTTACATAATATATGTGGGTGCACTTTCATTTTGAAAGACATACATAAAAGCTGTTGACTCTTCTGTCAGACTGACACAGTTTAATTAAAGAGTGCTTGAGAAAAAAAGCATTATACTGTTTCAGTATCTGTTGTCAGATGTGAGGTTGACAGGCTCTGTCAGTGTCATTACTCTAAAATTATTTATGACAAAATTAAAAAGTCGAATAAAATTTCATGTCAAGTTGCAAAATGCAGGTTAAAGGAAATAAAAAACAGAAATGCGTCAAATAAAGTGTATAAAAGTGTATAAATAAATGTTCAATCTGCCAGACAGACGGACATGATAATTCTGATTTTGCTAAAATACAGCCGTTGGCTATTGTTTGGAAATTCTATCTGTCAAGAGTGGCAAAAATAAGCACAAATATTTCGGTGCCCTTTGACCTCATTTCCTGCGTTTAAAAAGAAGCAGATGAAACAAGAGAGACGCACAGGGAGCCCCATCTTGTCAGTGATGAGAGATTTTGTGCTAAGTATCAGTCCATTATTATTTCAAGTTGGTAGTACCCATGTCTTTAGTTAATTTCAATGTTGAATAAACTGTTTATTTAAAGAAGACTTAGAACAATTCCAAAGTTCCATCATTTGCAAAGTTCCCATACACTTTCTGTCTTTTTATTAAATAGATTTCCTACAGAAAACGCAAAGAAGGTCTGCAGATTCTTTCTGGACATAGATACAACTAGCTAACATCATGAGGTAGTCTTGGCATTAAAAACACCCTGTTGCTATCACATATGTTCAGAGATTATATTTATAAAATTCTTTGACTGCAACATTGGCAGAAGTAATGTTCCTCTCATCAGCATTTTTGGGTAGATGAAGCAAAACAGAATCACAAGAACGCAACCAACAGGCAGAAAATCAGTCGGCATGGATGGGAATGCAAGAAACTGGCGTGACTTACTAAACTTCAGTTTAATTGCGCAGTTATCTTTATAGCTTTCATCACAATTTGAAACATCACCACTAACGGCAAAGTGTTGTTTCCTAAATAGCCTGTACGTAAATATTCTAATCACATGGGCGGACGTAAAAAGTCTCGTAAAAAGATCCAACGCACAGCTTCCCTGGGTACCAAACTATTAAAAACGGTCTTTTAAATCAGCACTTTAAAGCAGCAGGGAAGTGTTCCAATTACAGACCCGTTAAAATATTACCGTAATGAGATCAAGATTATGTTTAATTCAAACATGCAGTGAAACACCAATGACAGACATTTTATCACTCTTGCTTAGCAGGCTTTCAGACATCAAACAAATGCAGTTATGTGGACTTGTTTACTAGAATTAAAATGCCTTTATACAATACTAAGCATTTATATACACTTTAAGGGGTTCTTTGCAGTGGTCATCATGGTGCTATATAGCAACACTACCATTTAAAGAACCTGTTAAGCCCAGGTTGGTTCTTCATTGGTTCTATGACACCTCTTATTGTTCTACATAGCACCATATGACAAGATATGTGAGTTTCCCCTATGATTACAAGCCAATGAACCACTTTTAGTGCTATTTAGCACCATTTTTTTAGAGTGTAGACACACACACAGTATTACTTGGACCACCTTGCCATGTCTATGGAGTATTGTGGGAGTTCTGCTTGTTGTGCAGCCTTTAGAACCGCAAGGTTATTAAAACGCAGTCTCATCAAAGACAGGTGGATGGAAAACATGCAGGACTGCTGTTAGGGCAGAGGAGGAAACAGATCCAGATGTGATTTTGTTCCTCAGGTAACCCACAATTTCCCTCCTCGCTGCACTCTCGATCAGGTAGAGAAACAGCATAGGAACCATGCTGAATCTACTTTGTAAAAGCATGCCAAGTTTGGGAAATTTTTATAATATTTTTAAGCAATATCACATGAGCAAGAATGTAGGCACAACATACTGTACATGTCATGTATACAAGAAACAAATAAGGTAAATTAAATAGATAGAACGATGAATAGTTAGAACCAAAAAAAGTTCATTTCCATCCCTGGTTAGAACGATACAGATAAATAGACAAACAGCAATAGAATAACAGATAGAAGAATCAAAAGATAGATAGACCGACCGTTAGAAGGATAGATCAATCGATAGAACGATAGATAGACAGACAGACAGATGGATAGATCATGTTACAGTTCTCACACAGTTACTGCTGTGCAGTAGTTTGGATTTTTTTTTCTGTAAGGAGTAAATCTCATTGATAGAACAGCTAGTTTTCCTAAAAGCTGCTAGTTTGATCAGTTCCACATTGCTCAGCTACAGTAATAAGGTAATTAGTGTGTAAGCAGCGTCCTGAGTCAGACACTCCCTAGAGCTCTCGGCGGACGAAGAACAACACAGAACTCAAGTATTTCCAGAGACATCAGCTCTTTTGCTCTTTCTTTATCCCTCACTTTCTCTGGCTCGGGCATCCTCTCTGTTTTTCTTCTTATCAGTGGTAAAATGAAACAATGATAAATATCAAAAGCCAAAAGAAAGCCTCATTGGAAGGACTGGAAAATAATGTTGTTGACTTTGGACAATGTTGAAGTTTCTCTCACAGGTTATCAGCTCATCAGTAAATGTTTTTTTTTTTTTTTATGATTTTACTCACACCAAACCCAAGACCACATCTGATAGACAGGTTTTGAATTAGAATTGGGTCTTAAAATGCACAATATGTACACGTTATTTCACAAAGTTGTAATTAAATGGAGGAAAAGTATACTAATTTTGAATGAGCATGTGCACACTTATTTACAAATAATTCCAATGTGATTAATTAAAATGTCCCTATTTTGCTATAATAAATGTTCATAATTTTGTTTTCAGGGATGCAAACATATGTATGGTCAAAAAAGAGAGAGGCAATCGAAGCCCTAGCCCTGCGGAAAATATACAGAAACTTACATTGCCACCAACCCCTGCCATCCCCGGCCAACCCCAAGGCACATATAGTAAATTAGTTTCAGCCTTTAAATCATTTTTCACACCAAAAAAAAAAAAGGTTTTATAAAAAGACAAACCTCACATATTTTAAATTTAAAATACAGCCTTTAAATATTTTTTCACAAAAAGAAAAAAATATTTAAAAAAAATAAATAATTATTTTTGTTATAAAAAGAAAAAGCTCCTATATTTCAGTCTTTAAATCTTTTTTTTTCTCAAAAAAGGTGTTATAAAAAGAAAAACCTCACATATTTCAGACTTAAAATAATTTTTTCACAAAAATGGTGTTATAAAAAGAAAAACCTCCAATATTTCAGCCTTTAAATCATTTTTTTTTCACAAAAAAGGTGTTATAAAAAGACAAACCTCACATATTTCAGACTTAAAATCGTTTTTTCACAAAAAAAGGTGTTATAAAAAGAAAAACCTCCTATATTTCAGCCTTTAAATCACTTTTATAAAAAGAATGAGTCAAAAAAATACTTAACATTTACATTAATGCACATTAGCTTATCATTGAAATTAATAGTAAAATTTGGTCTGATTTTCCCGTGGCGTCTGTTGTTGCTGCACTCTACATAACAAAACGACAAAGAAGTTTTAGTAGCTAATAGTTATTCACTACTGAAAAACGCTTGCTGTAGGTCTGCTACAAGATTTATTTATGGAGAAGAGAAAAACACCGGTAGTGTTTGGGCACACCCCGATCCTTCATGTTTACTGAGCTTTCATGGGGGTTGGTTCTTGTCACATGAAATTCAATGCGCTTGCGGCATTGTGAAAAGTTGAAGTTGGAAAAAAACGCTTGCCGCGCGCAAACATTTGAAATAACGAACTTAAGTCTCAAAACTCACCCACAGGATACAAGGGAAAAAAAACAGTATACACGCACAAAATGCCATCCACTCGCGGGCGCGCTTCTGCACAGTGAGCGTGCACGATGCCATCCTCATGCGCACCGCGCAGCCCCTTGACGAGCTACCTCCAATCAGTCCACGGTCTAGTGGAAGAAACACTATACTGTAGTTCACGCTTGCGCGCATACTGCTGTTTTGGACAGCAGTGTTCTGATTTGCTTATTTCTATTTACTTGTTTGACTTTGGTGGAGGCAATCCAGAATTATTGTTGGTGAAATTATAATCAGACACCCCCCACCCCCCAAACTGATAATTTGGTCACCTAAACTGAAAAAAGTGGGAGGTGCCGAAAAGCGCGCTGTTTGCATCCCTGTGTTTTAGAGGGCTCTTAAAATAGGTTTACATCCATCCAAGGTCAAAAAATACTTTAAATTTCTCATAATATACATTGCACATCACCTAATTTCTCAAAGAGTCTGAAAATGTTTTTTTTGAAGATTCAGTCTCTCTTAACCCCTCCTTTCTTACGATTACTATGCTGTGATAGGTCAGACATTCAGCCAAGTCTGCTGTGATTGGTCTACTGCTTACAGTGCTTCCTCAGCACTTGATACACCGTGATATGAACAATAAAAATGCCGTCTTACCTTATCAATTAGAGCCTGTTCTAATTCATTAGAAGTGCAAAATTTGCTTCTGCTTCTGTCGACAGCACAAACCAAACGTGGGCAGAAGTTGTAGAAGTTGTTTGTGGACACCCACTGAGTCCATAGGCATTATGCAACTTTATTACATTGTTACCTAGGTGTGTAACGGCCAACGGGTAGCCAGACTGGAATTTTTGACAACTCATTTCAAGTAGTTAAGAATCAATTCTTTCTTTAGGAGGCAATAACTCCATTTATCATCCAATTTGCTCTGAT